AACTTCTTCTTTTTTAAAGACTGACATCAAGGGACCATAACAGCAGGGAGTACGCATATTTTTTATAATACTTTGTATATATTTTTACTTAAGTAAGATTTTGAATGCAGGATTGTCTTTTTCACAGAATGTTAAAAGTATTTTTATAAGAGAAAAAACAGAATACTTCTTCCACCACTTCTTCTGGGGTTCGGGTGCCATAGACCGGTACCAGGAAGTTGTTTTAGAGACAGAGTAACCCATTGTTTGGTTTAGTGTAATGAGATTTGTCGTCAACGAGACACATATCAACATTGCCAACTTTGTCGCGTAATAGCTGAGAATCTTTGCCAGTTGACAACTTTCTCACATTTGACCAAGTGTCTGCAACTGATACAAACTTCAGGATCATATAGTTTAATCTCTAACTCTAAAGCTTACCACACATTTGTCATATAGTTTAGCTATTTACTTTTTTTAAAACTACACCACATCTTCATCATTGCTCCTCTTCTTTACCTGGAAGAATAGAACAACCTGATTGACATTTGCCTTCCCCGTTCTAGTAATAAAGCAGTAAAGGAGAGGGTCTGCAAGGCAGTTTAAGCTGGAGAGAGCTATGCTGATTTTGTATGGGTAAAGGAGCCATGCAACCTCCCTGCAGTCATCCATTTGTGTGCGGAGGAGCATCATGACGTGGATAGGCCCAAAGCAGAACAAAACACAGAGCAGAACTACTGTCAGCAGCTTTAGGATACGTTTACGTTCTCGTTCCTTTGTGGCCTGATTGGATTTGACGGCCTCCCAGATCCCCCAGGTGGAAAACACCACCAGGAGAAAGGGAATAATAAAGCCCAGGATAAAGCGTGCTACACTAGCCCAGGCAAGGTTCCCTGACAGCGGGAGAGAAATATCAAAGCACACTGCAAACTTGTTGTACTCATGGTATGAGTCCTCCCAAGAGATGGTTGTAGCGTTGAAACAGAACACCAACACCCAAATGGTAACACCAACTGCTGCTGCAGTATTCACTTTCCTCAAGAAAGTGTACTTAAAGGGGTGAACCACTGCTAGGTAGCGGTCAACAGCGATGCAGCAGAGGAGAGCTTCACTGGTGTAAAAGTTAGTGTAGAGGAAGTAGACAGATAGCATACAAACGTAGCCTCCGTGGACCCAAAGTCCTTTCCACAGAAAGTCCAGCCACAGGGAGAGGCCGATGGTGAAGGTCAGGTCACTCAGGGCCAAGTTAAATAGATACACACCGAGACCGTTCTTCTGTCTGATGTGCTGCCACGACACGTACAGGGAGAAGGCGTTGGATGGGATGGCAGTGACGATGATAGCCAGGTAGAAAAACATAAACGACCTCCTCCTTGAAGCGCTATCAACTGGGTAGCATTCTGAATGATTTGAGCTCAGGGTTAAGTTTTCCATTGCAGATGTGGAGTTTATGTGCTCATACCTTTGCAGAGAAACAAGGGACGAAATAAGCAAATATGTCACATTCAATTATGTCTTCTGTGGCACGCTTACGAACAAAAATTCAAATATATTTGCCTCTGCTACTTTATAATTTGACATTCAAAAACCTATAGGTCTTATCTGAGCTTCTCAACTTCATAGCAGTGACATACTTACATGTAATGTAGCGACTGTTTAAATTCCCAAAAGATTCACTTGTATTAACAAATAAATCACAGATTGCTTTTCCTTAACTAACATATTGGACAAAGTCTTGTTTGTTCACCTTCCAGGGAACATTTGGCTTTAGTAGTCGTCTACTTTAAACTTAGTAGTATGTCGTTTTAAAATCTCTAATGTTGCACTTTTATGGAAGAGGGTCATTTCACAACACATCCTGCATTTCTGCATTACAAAAACACGGTGTGACAAAAGCAATTGTTGATCAAATGTTTGCTATCATAGACTATCTACGTCAAATCAAGACTAAACTTATTTTTTTTTACTTTTCTGAAATGCATCAAAACCAATAGACCCCTGGAAGGTGGGCAATAATCTAAAACTAATGCATTTTGAGTGGTTAGCAATAACTAATAAAAGGCTACTTAATGGGCTAGAACATGAAGAACCTTTGTTATACTTAGGCTTCAAATGCACCATAAACATTCATGTATTCCTCTAGCCAGATCAAATAAACCATCAATTAAATTGAACTCATATAAAGATCTACTTACTCTTTACTCAGAAGTGTTTCCGCTCCAAATGATGTCCATAAAAGTAATTAAGAGCAACATGAAAACATTAAAGCAGATGCAGAGTGGATTCATTCGGTTGTCTCCTCTTCCACTGCTTGGTCAGGCGGATCAGAGGAACAGGAAGAGTCGTCCCTGAGTACCGTATGTCTTACTCTGGGTGACAGGCCATGGCAGAACAAACTACCGGTGTTACAGACCACATGTCAGATTTAATTTAATAACTAAGTCTATATGACACTGCTTGTCTTCATGTTTGGTGTGTCAACATAGACATGAACCCGGGTAAAGGTGATGCTGATTAGTGTCTGATAAAGGCTGTTTGACTTATTTTTTCCATAGCGTAATAATGTTGGCTGAGCCTACCTGCTCCTAAATGATAGGCACATACATTTTTTTGAGCTTTTTTTGTTTGCTGTTACATCCGGTCCATGCTGCCTACAAGGAGATCCCTTCATAAAGAAATGTCAGTGTAAGTGACAGGGGGACAAAATCCACATTCCTTGCTCTGAGTAAAAATGTTATTAGCCAATCAAAGGTTAACTAATAAAATAATGATCTTCCAAAGTAATACCAACCCACAAAAAGGAAATTAACTTAAACATAAAAAAAGAGGAAGATTATCTAGATTTCCTGCTTTTCAAGTTTTATTATCAGACATAAAATCAATTAAGTAAATAAAGGCCAATATGATCTTGTTCAAAATCAAACAAAGCAGTACATTACAGTTATAAAATACCCACTCAGAAGTGGAAAAACAACATCTCTGTGTATGTAAATATAAATGTAAATGACTGTATTTATATTGAAAGTATTATAAATGTACTACCCCTACTGTACATAGGATACATTTTAGTTTCCTTCCTGGATAGAAACAGCACTGTGCTCTTCTAAATTATCTAAGACATCCTCGCATCAATACAAAATTGTCATTAACATTTAATTTGATTTGCAATTATGGGTTAAAATGTAAACAAATAGATAATTCGGTTAGGAAACTGACTGAATTTGATTAGAACTGTCTGAAAATGTCCTTCTCAGAAAAACTCCCCAACATTTCTCTACAGCTTTCCTTATCTCTCTCTGAGCGCTCTCGCTGATTAAACAGTATATTATGGGATCCAGTGTACTGTTTATGGTTGTCGTGGCAACAGTGACCAGGTATGGATCTCTAAGCCTTGTGGCCCAGGAGCAGGTCCCTGGCTCCAGTATGGCTCTCAGCAGCATGACAATCTGGTAGGGCATAAAAGCCACTATGTAGGTTAGAAGAAGGTAAAACAGCAGCAGTCCCACTTTCCTGCGCTCCACTGTCAGAATTGAGGTGTTCTTTTTGAGCGATTGCATGATCTGCTGAAAACAAAAGGCCATGATGAAGATAGGGACCAAGAAACCCAGGGTGACACGTGTAAGGGCGAGGTTACCGTCTTCTTGTGTCATGGGTATTCGCTCCTCACATACTTTTCTTGAGGAGAAAGCTTGCAGTGCCCCCGTGTGGTCAAGCAAGATGATGTGAATGGTAATCTCCAAAGTCCAGAGGGCAATACTCACTATTGCTGCTGTCCGCACCTCTCTGACCCAGTGAAAGTGGAGAGGATAGACCACTGCTAGGTAGCGATCAACAGAGATGCAGCAAAGGAGGCCCGAGCCTACGTAGAAGCTGTTGTACATGATCACTGCCACCAAACTGCAAAGGCCACCGAGAGGTCTCTGCAGGGCCAGCTCAATCCACACGGGCAGAGAGATAGTGTAGAGCAGGTCAGAGATGGACAGGTTGAAGAGGTAGACTGCCATGCTGTTGCCATTCCTCATCAGCATCCAGGCTACATACAAAGACAGGCAGTTAGCCGGTAAGCCCACAATAAAAAAAAGAGAATAAACAGCTGGATACATGTGCGTTTCCACTGAGGACTCCACGGTGCAGGAGGTAGATGAGTTGGTCTGGTTAGCTGCGTCCATCCTCACGCGTTGATGACCAAACCTGAATGTGGATTGAAATGGAGAGCCCTGTATTCTGGTGAACTGAGATAAGCTTGGCAATGCAAATAGTTCCTGCTAAAAAATGTTTGGCCATGCTAATAATATAAACAGCATCCAATGCTTTCATTGTAGTCATCTGTAATTGTATGCAGCTTTCAAAGATCATGATAAGGTCAACCAAAACATTACGTTGTACCTGAGTGTTTGTAGGATTAAATGGAAACTGCACTGTGTTGTCAGCTACAGTAGTTCTACCATTAACCTCAGATGTTATGATCTATATAGAGAGAAAGTTATCTATTATTTAATTCAAAAATGTTTTAAAGTTTAATTAAAAGTATATAATTTGGATAGGAAATTTGGCAAAGCTCCTCAGGCAAGCCAGGAGCAAAGGGCCGGCCATACAGCAACACGGAATAGGGGGCGGATTGTTGTCTACATTTACAAGAATATGGTGACGCTAAAAAGCCTGAGAGGGCTGAGAGGGTTGAACGTTTACTTATCCAATAATTAGGAATCTAAGCTCACCAAATAAGACTAAGTAGCTGGAGTTAAAGTTTGGTGAAGAGAATGTATCTGGAGTGTGGAAGTGTGGATGCTTTTCTTAAGTTATTCTCTAATCTCACTCTCTTGTGTTTTCTTTTGGCTACTCCTGCATTTGCAAAGTGTTATATTCAATGAGTTAAGATCTGGGAACAGTGCAACGTCAATACAAATGTTCCAGGTTAAAAACAACCAACAGCTTTCACAATCATACAGATTTGATCACTAAGTCTGACTCATTGCTTGTATTGTCACTACTTTCTTACATCAGCAATTACAGGGAACAACTCAGTAAATACACATTTTATGATTATAAGATAAAACAACACTGGTTGGTTAAGTTAACAAACTCACAGCTCAGTCCAACCTTGACCTTATTATAACTTGGGCATGCATACTCAATTTTAAATAAACTTCAAAAAAAGGTGATCCTTTTGCTATAGTGTTGGCTTGATTTCAAACTGCATGATTCAGATGTATAGTAATGACATTGTATAAACAAATAGCAGGAATTCATTTTTAACTAAAATGTTATCATAACCAAGAAAAACATTTATGAAAATAAGAACCAATGTGAAGTAATACTTATAAAAGCCTTTTGCTTGATGAATTAAATTAACTTCTTAACAGATTTGTAACTTTATACATCATGCAAAGTAAAACATTGCAAAAAAACCCTGTCTTTATACACTGACATAGGTGTAAGTGTATTCATAGGTAGGCAAATGTTTCTCCAGGTATTACAATTAATTAAACAAATAGTTGAACAATTGATACACAGAGGTGGTTCATGGAACGTAGAGAACATTGTTCACATTGTAAACAAATACCAACCTGACTGTGTAAGTCAAACCCTTACTTGATTAATGTTCTGGAGTTGAATAAAGGAAACATGAGTAACAGTGACAGAGACAAGAGAATAAATAAATAGTTAAAAAAATATAGGGTTTGTTTTTCAGATGTACATTAAAATATAAAAAATATAATAAAGAAAGTAAGATCAACAGCATTTGACAGTACACAGAAACACATATGCACAGACATGCACACACAGAAGATGTGTCATGTAAAGACTTCATAACATGCATTTACAAAGAAACACAGTCTGTCTCCATTTCTTTTGAGTATTACATTACTAATGGCATACAAATTGGCTCCCACATCCTGTAATAATCCCATGCATTAAAAGGTGACCACAACATTGATTTCCTCTGGTCTATTCATGTTAGTAGCGCTTACATGTTGCTAAATGTTATGGTTATCTTTCTCCTCCTTCCCCTCGGTTTCCTCCTGTTGCTCAAAGAAGATAAGATGAAGGAAACTGTTTGGAGAGACCAATCTAATTCTGAAATAAAAAGTAAGGTCTGAGTATGAGACAACATCCTCTCATCAGACAGGATTGTATTTAATGTGTATTCTGACTACATTCTAAATAACTAAGTTACTGTTCCATATCTTCTTCGGGGAACATGACTAATAACTTCATTATGTGAAAGTAAGTAAACAAAAACAACAGCTCCTAAGGAATGCCCTTCAGTCCTACAACTGAGGTCTAACAATACTCATCTGGGTTGAGTTCGTGCATGAGATATTAACGGACGATTTTCTGGTAGATCTCCACTGTTTAAAGAGTCCCCTCACTTTTTGCCGAAATTGCTGTCCTACAATGACGTAGAGGATGGGGTTGAGAACACTGTTGAAGAAGGCGAGGTACGTGAAGACATGGCCGCAGATGTTAAGGGTGTACTCAAGGCTACACCCTGTCAGGACTTTAGCTTTTTGCAGCAAAAGTAATATCTTTGTCACGTGGAATGGCATCCAGCAGATCATAAACGCCAGGAGGACCGCCAGCACCAGAGTGGTGGCCTTTTGCTCCTTCTTCTGGGTGTTTAACCCCTCAAATATCCTGTTGTTCAGAGCTTGAAGAATCTTTATAGTACAGTAGAAGATGATGAAAAAGGGGATGATGAAGCCAAATGTAAACTGCATCACATTAAACACAGCCCTTTCAGTGAGATTTCGGAAAGCCAAATAGCATATATTAGATTGCATATCAGGGAAATATTTCACTTCCCTGAAGACAAGTGTGGGGACACTTAGGAGCAAGCCGAAACCCCACACCAGCACACAGCCCAGTTTGGCATATTTTGGCCTAGATATTCCTTTATGGGACAGAGGGTCCGTCAGTGCCACGCGACGATCTATGCTTATCAAAACGAGGAAGTAGATGCTAGAGTAGGCGTTCATGTTGATGCTAAAGTTGACCAGTCGGCACAGGTGATAAGAAAAGGGCCATTTGAATTGGTTGGCTGCGTTCACAGCCCAGAAGGGCAGACAGGACGTCAGGATGAGGTCAGCAGCAGCTATGTTGCTTAAGTAGATCTCAGCCACGGTACAGGACTTCTTATGAAGACAGAAAACCCCGAGGACAAACACATTCAACACAATTCCCAGCACAGCGACGAGCAGGATATACACCGGCAGCACGGAGGTGTGCCAAAAATTTGGTTTGTCACTATAACACTGACTCCCATTCATGTTGTTTTGCTGTCCATTTATAGTAGTGTTGAAGTCAGCGAGGATGCTGTGAAAGTAAGAGGAAGGCAAACAAGACAAAATGTTTAAACAAACACAAATTCAACTTAACTTCAACATTTCCTTTGAAATATGTTTTGCAGAGATAATGCTTGAATACACAGTTACACTGAACAATGTGAAATAGTTGTATTCCAAGTTTAATGCAGGTGCCAGACTAGTTTATGATGAATAAAAAGGGTGACAAAATAATAATAAGGATGTTATACATGTATGTTTATGTATAAGCAAAACAAAAATGTATGAAATGTTTTTATGAATAACTTTTATTGCAAGCTTTTTATTTCTCTCCCCACGGCAACTTGACAGGCTGTTTCCTGTTATAACTTTTGTGAATATGTCATTCATTCTGTGGAATTTTATAGCATATCTTGAATTTCAGCAAAATAAGGAATCGCTGGAGGGCAAACATGCTCTGACTTGAAGTGGAATCCAAGGGATGCCCCTGCCCTCTTGGGATTGTTCTCTTTAATATTTGATCATATTTGTATATGCAGATTAACGGTAAAGAAGTATACATTAGCAGAAATTACTATCATTTTAGTAGTTGAGTAAATGTCCAAACCTGCCACCACTGATTTACTATTTTAAATGTTTTCAATATAAATGCATCAAGAGTCATTCTAATATTCATTAACATAGTACACACCTCAACATCGTCTAACATCTAACCCTCATCTAACAACATGTTGAGACACAAACTATGCAGTTAGAGAACTGTTCATTTGTTGGAAAAAACATGTTTACTGTCTTCCATTTGAACTGTGTCTAAATGTGGCGCCGATATTAAACCATTCTCAGTTTCATGATGAGTTTCATGATGAGTCTGTATCGTACAAAGCACAACACATTACAGATGTTACTTATTTACACCCTCAGGATTATAAAAGAACCCCACCACCCCCAGCAACCATCTGTTTTGTCTGCAGCCGTCTGGCAGGCGGTACCGACTAAGACTGTTGAACACCTGAACTTTTGAAAGAACATCATCCATAACATTAATCTGTTTGCAACTTATATCTATCAATATTCCAATTACTTGTATATCGACTATTCTGCACTATTTCTATTATATTCTATTTTATTTGATTTACTTGCACTATTTGATCTGTTTCTTCTGTTTTATTGTGTTGGCCTGTGACCTAAGATTTTCATTGTCATAACTACACTGTAGCTATGTACAAATGACAAAAAAAAGCCTTGAACCTTGAACCTTATTTATAACCCATGCTAACATTCAAACTACAGTCAATCGTGGTAAAACATTAAGAAAGTAATATGCAAACCATATGAATGTTAATGCCTACCTTGTGGACGGAAGAGCCATTCTTCTTCTTGTGCAGATACACTGCTTCAGTACTTCAGTCAGTGTTTCATTGTCCTCGGTCTGCCTCTGAGACGCTCTCTGAAAGGGAAAGGAATCCAATGAAAAATGATGTCAGACAGACTCCTTAATGTTTGCAAGCTGTTGAGACCCCGCCTTCATCCTCACTCTGGTTTCAGTTAAGTTGTGTCTACATATTATATTCAACTTTGTTTCTTATATGGTCACAGATATTTTGAGCATTAAATTAAGGTCAAGATTGTTTTTCATATACTTGACCTGTATGTTAGAGTTGTTAAACTACATTCGACTCTACTAATAAAGAAATAACTGGGAGAAAAAAAAGTACCTCTGAAATACATTTTCAAACTGTTTTACATTAAGAAAAAGCCAGAAAACAAAATTGAGTTTTGAGAAGAGATGTAAGAGAAGTAGCTGAGTTTGTCTGCCTAAATTGCATGGAAAACAGCCTTTTCTCCAAAACCCAGAATTCATAAACTGTTTAAACTTAACATATTCCCCAATCTTCCCCCCCACTGACCCCTTTATACATTCCTGTTATGTGACTATCGAAAAATATATAAATCACCATAAAATCTAACTGATTGAAATAAAATGTTAAAGTAAGATCTTTTTGCTATTTTTAAAGGACTTATTTTATTTCCAAATACAATGTTGGTATTTAAGAAAAAACTATTTACATTATCAAGGACAGTTACATTTATTGTGTTTTGGGTCAATATGGAAATATTGCCCTTCCAGTGTCAGATACAAAAGGCTTTCTGTTGCTTCTCCTTTTGGACTACACTTGTAACTGCCCCAGAACAGAACTTCACTGACAGAAAACCCTTTCGTCAAGGTTCATTTTCAATTGAGAGAGAAACAAATAGGAGAAACCACACAGAAGAAGAAGGCTGTTATGTGAGCTTTAGTATGTTTCCCCTCCCCTAAGTTGTGTAAAATGTTGCTGCAAATATAAGAGGTCTCAGAATGTGGGTATTATGCCCCCCCATCCCTGTCATCGCGAGAACCATATGCGGGACATATACATCATTAAAGTTTATAGTAGTAGTAGTATATATTGGTATAGTATATAGTATTCTCCCCTCCACTATGTAAATTATGAGTGGTTTTTGTACTTCAGGTACAGTATGTTATTAGATAAATAAAGCAGAGGGTAGTTTTTTTTACAATAACACATTTGCATGTATTTGTCACCTCAATATCATCCTACACAATCAACACAAAAATGTGTAAAATGTTGACATTTTTATATTTTTTATACAACTGAAACAGCCTGGGGTCAAATTGACATATAACAAAAAAATCATGTTCATTTTATGTTTACCCATTTGTCCTCACTAAATAAGGAAAAGTTATGAAATACTAAGCAGAAAAAAAAAATCCTGCAGGAGATAGTGAATGTTAAGGGAATCAGCTCCGCCCTCCTGGCTTGCCTCTGAGCATAAAACGATGGAAACCAGTGAAATTAACCCTATAATGTTAAATGTTAATCAGATGAAGGGTGAGGCTGCATAGAGGTCTATTCTATTTTGGCCATCTGGACACTCCTTACATTACTGAATCTTCCGGGACAGACTGAAAACTCATCTCTTTCGACTCCACTTCGAGCGATAGAATTACTAACAAAGAATTACTAACAAAGCACTTATATACTAATAAAGGACTGGCTTATCTAAAGCCAGTTGAGTAGCACTTGAAATGTTTTGGCTCTATGAAACCTGATGTACTTATATGATTCTGTTTTCTTCAAGTTTGTATCTTCTTGGTCGAATGCACTTATTGTAAGTTGCTTTGGATAAAAGCGTCAGCTAAATGCAATGTAATGTAATGAATAAACAAAATTGACAGAGGAAACCCTGAATTGTTCTCTTAATCGTAATTCCCCTTCTTTTCTCTCCTTGCCTTTTTTTGTCCATATTAAACCTCTTTGTCCTATCTGGCATTGATTTCCAGAAGTGTTTCATCTGTTGAAGTTTTAAATCACTCAACTGGTCTTGTATAATTAGCCAACTATCTAATTTACTGTATATAATTTACTGTAATAATTTAATGGTGAATCTATACATTCACCATTAATTCATTGTATACTCATGTTTATTCAGTAGCTTATGTACATTTTTCATTCATAAATAATCTTATTACGCTTTTTAAAGTATTTACTGTACGCCTCTGTTCAGGAGTGAATTTCACTAATAACTTCAAATTATTAGACTTTACTAATACAAGTTAGCTTTCTGCATAGAGTGAACATTGACACAACCTGGCGTGATTCTGTAAAATACAGTGAGGAATTAGACCATTGGAGGTCAACAAAGATAAGAAATGTGGTTGCTTTTTTAAACTCAGGAAACATATATCTTGCAAAGAGAGAAGGGCACATATTCCCCCTTGAATTAGACACTGTTAGAGGGCCTGCTTGACTAATACTGTTTAATGTATGTAACAGAAGGTGTCAACAATGTTTTTACAATACATACATACATACATTTGGATCCATTTACAAAAGTTTGGGAAAGTTATGAGTTTGCAACAGGTTATGCCTTACGCTATGTCTTTGCATGTTAGTACTTTAATTGAGTTGATTGCACACATTATTCCAGCAAGACACAAACATACTTGAGTAATAACTGTTGATACTGAAGAAAAGCTTGCATGTGTTTGTCACCGAGTAGATGTTTTGTTAAGATGTCACGATATATACCATACAAGGGGATTTATGAATGTGAATACACACAAAGTACATGGGTGGCCTTTCTCTTTGGTTAGCCTGCAGAATGTAAACTGCACTTCTCGAGTAATTTTAATTACGTCAGATACATCCTGCATTTCTTCAGAACATGATATAAGTGTAAACATAAAATCTGCTTTTATGTCTTTTGCAAATTACAGCCATTATCTCTTGTGTTAATTATGTATGCATAAGAACAGTTTGAAACATCCGATGATAGTGCTAGTTAACCATATAACACCATTAACTGTCTCATGAAAGCACAATTATGAGACTCATATCCTGTACTGTATACTGTAAAGATTTTCCCCATAATCAGCTATGCAAGTCGAGAATGTAATGGGATCCTATGCATTTAGAATGACCACTAGCTTAATTTTCTCTGTTCTGTTAATGTAAGTGGACACAACTGAGCGTTGATATATTGTCGTATCTGATCCTCTGCGATAATGTCTGGTCCTCCTGTAGATGGCGCTAACTTTCCTCCTAAAGTACTGCCCTGAGAAGACATACAGCAGTGGGTTCAGGGCGCTGTTGAGGAAGGCCAGATACGCTGAAACCTGGGTTCCTATATCGAGAGCATGGAACCACAATTCCTCATCCAGCACTCTGACATCACAGAGTGTGTCGAGAAAGGTGAAGACCTGGAAGGGGCCCCAACACAGTAAGAATAGTAGTGTGACAGCATACACAAGTACTGTGGCTTTTGTGTCATTAATGTCATGGAATGCAACCCTCTCCTTTCTCTGAACTAAAGCCTTGATTATGTTCCCACTGCTGAAAACAATTATCAGAACAGGCAGTACAAAGCCAACAACATTCATCAGAATCTGATGGGCCAACTTCCAAGAGTCGCCTTGACTATAATCCAAAATACAGGACATTGTTCCGATCTCCTGGATGTACGTCACTTTTCTGTGAACCATTGTTGGCGTGCTCAAAGCAAGAGCTAACATCCACAGGAGGAAACAGATCACTTTGGCATAGAGTGTCCGTCTTAGCCACCTGGCCTTCATGGTCTTTACAAGTGCCAGGTAGCGGTCAACACTAATCATGACCAGGGTGAAGATATTAGTGTAGAAATGGAGGATGATGATGGAGTTGACCAGTTTGCATAACGCGTCTCCGTACGGCCAGTTAAAGTTGTTGAGGATGTTCATCGCCCAGAAGGGGAGGGCACACAGGAGAATAATGTCAGCCAGCGCCAGGTTGCTCAGGTAGATCTCTGCTACAGTCAGTCGATCCTTGTGGGCGAAGAACACACCCAGGACAAAGATGTTTAAGAGCAGGCCTAACAGAGACAACATGAAGATGTACGGGGGAATGATGGTACGGACAAGCTCCCATTCTGCAGTGATAGGAAACTCTGATGGTCGGGACGCACTGCTGTTTTCAGACCACACTGTCCCCACAACTACAAGCATAATTGGCTCCATAGGCTAGAAAACAAAATATTTAGGCATGCTTCATCAGTAAAACGTTTTTAATGAGAGAAAAACACGTTTTGAAAGCTACTGCATCAGAGACATAACATTTGATATTAGCTTCAACAAAAATAAATGAGACATGTTGGAAAATACAAAAAATATAAAAATGTTGCCCTCATGATAGACATGTTTTAAATTTAGATAGCTTAAGTGACCGAGAAAAAACAAGCAGTTGATTAACTTTCCTTTAGTTTGACAACATGTGTCAAAGCTCCTGATTGAAATGTGTTTTCATGTGGTAACTTAAATCATTTTGTGCTACCAAAAAGGCTAAACAGTCTACATAATTAATTGTCATTCTTAGTCTATGCTGAAAGACTATCTATCATCTCTGAGTATCTTTAAAGTACATATGTTGATGTTCAAAAAAGAAAAAAGGAAATAATATGGAATGAATAAGTTCTTACCGTGTGGTTCATGAACATTTTCCTCCTATTTTCAGGATGCTAATGATAACAGGCACGTCTGGGACAGGGCTCATGTGTACACTGAGATCCCAGTGAGAGTGCAAAGCAAGTCAGAGGAGAGATCTGTTACGAACGATTTTGTATACAGTTGCATTCTTCCTCACCCTTCGCCAAGTATGCAATATATCAACTTGTTTAGGAGAGAGTAAAAATGTGCTCTATGCACAAATAGTGTCATAGACAACCTGAAACTGCATCACACCAAATGTGTTGGAGAGTGTTCAACTCCATTAGCAGTAGTGCAGACTGTCAAGGAAGGCAGTAAGGTAGTTGTATGTCTTTTATTATATGAAAAATCAAATGAATGATAATGTGAAAGAGGGATTCAGAGTGTTTCTATGTTATCACATCAACAATTCTCGTGTCCAAAGGGAAGATAACGTGCAGTTGATAGAAATCTTTATCCAACTGATCAAATCGATTATCAGGATTGACGTGTTTTTTATTGTATCAGTTTTACCTTTGCATATACAGATAATAAATGTGCCTAATTAATCCCAACAAATGTTGTCATGTTCCTATTTATCCTTGTACCGTGATGTTATTCTGTCCTAATCTATTCTAAATGTCCCTCCAACTCAAGCCGTCATAACAACTTGATATGGTTAACAACTAAATAGCAAACAAACAGAGACAGAATACAACATAAACAGTGTTGCTGTCAGTATGCAGTGGGAAGTGTCATCTAAAAATGAGTATGAAGGTGCAGTAAATCCTTTTATGGTCAAAATGATAACAGCATGCTTGAATCATGCAGACGAGTTAGATATTTTTGAAAGGAAATCTCGCTCATTGTCACAGTTCATTATTATCAAAACAAAAACACTTTTTGATTTTGAGGATTATAGATGATACTTTATTGAAAACAAGAAACAGTCAATACATAGTTTAACTCACTTGAAAAACATCTTTATTAGAGCCCTAATAGAAACTTTATTATCTGGAATTCAAATGTTTTGTGGGTGATATATACTATTCACGTCATTTCTGTTATATTGATATTGCAGAAGGAAAACATATATTTCATACGTACATGTATAACACAGTGGCAGGATAAAATGTATGACATATTTATTACTCTTAATATCTGTTGCATCAGTTATAGAGCCGATTCCAACATGTGAAGTTACTTAAGAAAAAGCCTTGGAAGATGGTCCTCTAAGATCACGTATCATCACATGATCTCATTTATTTAATTCTTTAAAAAAGTGCAAAAACGACATAGTATGGTTTTAAAGTTTTTGTATCAAACACAGATGTTATGACAATTAGTGAGGTTTAGAGGTACTGGTAGGCACATTTTGTCACCTCACGACCACAATGATAACCCCTTTCCCATCTTCCAGTCTTTATGCTAAGCTAATGGGATTCTGGCTGTATCTCCACATTTAGCCTATAAATAAGAGTAGTATTGACCTAGTCATATAACCTCTAGCAAAAACCAAATAAGAGTATTCCCAAAAGGTCCAAATATGGCTTTCAAATGGCAGTGGATTTATGATTGACTCTTTAATTGGTGTTTTTGTTGTACTTCATTTAAACTGATAGCTAGATAGATACTGTTTTCTTTTAACAGCTGTTTTTGGTAAAACGTTTCTCTTTGTGTGTGTGTGTAGATTTAGAATTTAGTACTCTCTGTTTGTTTAGTTGAGTTGAGATTGGCATTGGAGCGACCGGACTTCCCACACTGCCTTTTCCTCCTGCACAGCACACGTCTAAACACTTCCCTTGCCCTCTGCTTGAAGTGCTTCCCCACAATCACATACAGGAAAGGATTTAATGAGCTGTTACTATAACCAAGGTAAGTAGCCAACTGGTTTCCAATGTCCAACACGTACGCCCAAGTACATCCAGAGACAACTTCATAATGATCCAAGGTGTCCAAGAAGATCAAAACCTGGTAGGGCAGCCAGCAGAGAATAAACACAGCCAAAACAACAAGAACAAGATATGCCGCTTTGCTTTCCACACTGCCTCTGCTTCCTTGTCTCAGCTTCTGGCTGTGGCGAAGGACTTTAGTGATGTGGTAACTACAAAAGGACACAATAGGAACGGGGATAAGGAAGCCCACAGTGCTGACAGTCACGTTGTAGCGCAGTCTCCAGCCTTCATGTGGATATGCTAGGTAGCATGCTTCAACGCCCAGATCAGGGAAAAACTGTACGGAGCGAAAGAAGACAGCAGGGATACTGAGCAAGACCCCAGCAATCCAGATAGTGAAGCAAATCCCATGTGCCCAGAAGGCCCGTCTCTCTCTCCCATGGGTTAGGGGTCTGGTAAGTGCCAGGTATCTGTCTACACTCACAAGCGTAAGGAACAGCACACTGCAATAATAATTCATCCCAATGACAATGTTGATAAGCTGGCACATGGGCTCCCCAAACCTCCAGTGGAACTTGTTGATAACGGTTGCTACCCAGAACGGCAGGCAGGAGACCATGAGGAGATCAGCTGCTGCCAGGTTGCTCAGGTAGATGTCGGCCACAGTGCTGCGTCGCTTCTGGAGACAGAACACACATAGCACAAAGGAGTTCCCGATCACTCCGAAGAGGCAGATGATGGACATGTAGGCAGGCTGCATGGTGTAAACCCAGTCCCATGCATCTGTGTGGTTGCAGACAGGCTCATCTCTCGTGGCAGTCTCCATAAGAACTGTGGCTCAATGTGAAGGCCGTTCCACAGTAACAACGATTTAAGAGTAAGAAAAAAAAAGGCTGCGTTCAAAGTGAACATACAAGTAAAAACCTTTCAACTGTGTCAACACAGGTTAAATGTCTCTGTTGTTACATTCACATCATAATGTTAGTTCCAAGGTGAGAAGGAATAATAGATTTAATGGACTGTTAGTGATTTAATGGTGGTTTATCAGTAAGAGCACACAGCCTGCTCATGCCAACATAAAAAGTGATGTCCTAGCAACAGATACTGTATGGAATATGTCTGTCATTGTAATACGTACGTGCATGCATTCACAAACACATACAGCATAACTACAATGTAACTGGCATCTGCTCAGATGTTGTCTAAGGGAATATATGCTTAACTAAACTATTGTGTTTTCCCATTTTTCAGAAGAGAATATACACATTGTTGGGCCAAACTTCAAGCTTCTTGCTACAGGTTAAAAGGCAAGCTGACATTGGAGTCAACTACCATGGATTGCTACTGACGGAGTACGTTATCATACTGTATTGCCTTCTAAGTTTGTATTTCCCTTACCTTTAAGCATTATAAAGTTAAAAGTTCATTCCCTTCAAAGGGTAAAATCAAGCAACCTAGGCAAATTAGCAAAATCCAGAGAGGCAACAAGGTCAAACAGTGTATTTTTTGCATGCATCATTTCTATTTTGAGGTAACTTTGTCCGCCTGCATTTTTCTGTTTCACAATATTTTCCAGCTCTGGCAATGGTGGTAAATACAGACTCCTAACACAGATTTCCTGTTTGGCAAGACGTGCCTTAATTTAAGGGACAAGTAGGGGTGTACCCTTGCCCACAGCCCACAATGAGTCAACATCGGGCAGTTAAATGGTGGTGTGGTAAGAAACGTGAAGCGAAGTCCATACAGCCAACAAAAAGAGGAATGTTTGTGTATCAGCACTGGAAACTCTTTGACATGATACTGTTTTAAACTCTGCAGACACTAAGTCATAACATCAGAAAACACTTAGCAAGCAGTTGTTGGTTCTCTCTTACATTCTAGTTTATGTGTTCCAATCAACATTTAAATATATTATAAAGATTCACGAGGCATCTGTAAAACAATAAGTATTTTTTATTTGGACCTTTTATATTCAGAACAAAAACAAATATATACAAGACAGGATATGTTAACTGTATGTTAAATAAATAATTGTACAGCTCCAGGCTGATTTATATCACATCACCTGTATGTTAAAGATACAGTTGTTTGGAAATGTTTTAAACAAGTTTAGTTTAATTCATGTAGTTCAACTGTTATAAACTGAGAAAACAATTCATTTAAGACATTTTATGTCCCTGCACATATATCTACATTTCTTAAAAATAAGTATTTGTATGTACTCCAGTGATTATGAAAGTAGTATTTTACACCAAAGTCTTCAGTGTAGCTGACAGGTTTGATGAACGTGAGGATTCATAGTTGTTTTTTTTAATAATTTTCCAATGCTGGAAGAGTTCACAAGCGTTCTTACGGAAGTTCTTTCCTACAATGACATAAAGAATGGGGTTGAGAACACTGTTGAAGAAGGCTAAGTAGGTGGAGATCTGATTGCAGATATCTAGGACAGACTCCAGGTGACATCCTCCGAGGATGTCAGCTCTTAAGAGAACATCTAGTGCGGTGACCACATGGAAAGGCACCCAGCAGATGAGGAATGCCAGGAGGACGGCCAGCATCAGATTGGTGGCCTTCCTCTCCGTGTTCTGAGCATTGAACCTCTCTATCGCCTGGATCTTTAAAGCCTGAATAATTTTGATAGTACAGAATGAGATAAACAAAATGGGGATGATGAAGCTAAAAACTATCAAAATCCCATCAAAGACCAGTCCTGCAGTGACATTTGGGTAGTCCAGAAAACATGCGTTCACACCATACTCAGGGAAATATTTCACTCTCCTGAAGATAATGGTGGGTACACTCAAGAGCAAGCCGAAACCCCACATCAGCAGACAGCCCAGTTTGGCATATTTTGGCCGACGCATTCTGGCATGGGACATTGTATGAACAAGTGCCACATAGCGATCTATGCTAATCAGAACGAGGAAGTAGATGCTGCTGTAGGAGTTCACCTTAATGCCCAGGTTGACGACTTTGCACATGAACAGACCAAAAGGCCAATTGAAACCATTGGATATGTAGACAGCCCAAAAGGGCAAACAAGCCACCAGGATGAGGTCAGCAGCCGCCAGGTTGCTCAAGTAGATCTCAGCCACGGTGCAGGCCTTCTTGTGGAAGCAGAAAACCCCCAGGACAAACACGTTGAACACAATCCCAACCACAGTGATGATGAGGATATACACTGGCTGGCCGGTGTGGAGCCACTCCCAGTCGTACTGTTGAGGACAGTCTGTGCCATTGGTGTGGTTTTGGTCTCCATTGAAAGCTGTGGTGCTGAGGTATGGGACGCTGTGGAAAAAAAGTAAATTAAACATTGATATTAATAAAAACGTTTACATAATTTTCATACAATCTTTGGAGGTCAAAGGATCGATACTCCTTTTATGACAGTAAATGTGAAGCTGGTTAGACTAGCTTAGCATAAATACTGAAAGCCATGGGAATTAACTGCATTAACCTGGCATCATTCAACCTGGTTAAACTGTGTGATTTGTTTGTGGGGAAATGGTCTTTATAGGGTCCTCCCCTGAGCTTCATAACTCCCAAGCTGTTTGGGCATCGTACCACACTAAAATGACATAACCAACCATTAAAATACGAATGTAGTCTCTAAGGTCTTTGATCTCTTCGAACTTAATCATAACACAGAGCGGGGAATTTAAATATGCATCCGCTCACTGTACATCTAACTGCTGGCAGAACTACTGATCACTGCATTGTAATCTTGAAATGCTCCATCAGCAGTCCTTCCGCCACCCATCAATCGATTACTCTCTCCATTGTATTTGCATCTAAGTTGCGTAGTACAGTGGTCACCATCTCCACATAATGAGCAACATGCTGGGCTCTGTTCATCCTAATTTCCCCCGGGGGTAATTTGGCTTTGCTCTGCACAATATGAGATAGGCTATCATCTTTGTCATGGGAGTCTGTTTTGCACTGAACCTTTACATCAAAGTCAACTGTATTTTTTAATGATACGTACATGAGGATGTTTCTACATTTATTGAGAATCAATCACAATAGAGCTGCGATTTAAGAGTGTAGGTCTAAACCCATTTTTCTTTTAAATAGATTGTTTTTATTGTTTTTATTACTGTACAGTATGTAGAAGGTACCAGTTCTGTGGCATGTACAATCAACTTTTGAAAAGTGCCAAATGTTTGTTGTTAAATGTTTGGTTTTTAGCTTAGGGGCAAAATTCGAGCTCAGATAATCAACACAATAAATGTTATTTCATTCATTTTCTTTCAAATTTCGATTCAATCAACACATTTTAAATTGTTACTTTAAATGTATCAGCATAGTCGAAAAAAATAAAAAAATAACCGTAATGTACTTAGCACAAAAGAGAGGGAGGTTACTGCTCGCTGACATGTAAACTAAATAAATGAGATGCTACGTTTTGGATGTATTTTACTGTATATGTTACCATTATGTATCAAGATATTTTGTTACTCAATAAATCTTGACAAAAGAAGTAGAATAAATCTGAAAATGTCATTACAAAACAACTTTTATAGTCATTGACATTGAAACTATAGATATTTCCATGCATGAAAAAATATCATGTATACATATTTCACGATAAATAACTAAATAAAGCTTATAAATACCTTGTAGTTTGAAGATTCATTGCTCCTGAGTCCTAAGTCCAGATGTGAAACCTCCAGATGCACGACTGCTCCAGTAACCCTCCCTTACTCTCCTCTGTCTGTGACTGACTCGCTCTCTTATAGAAAACTGTAATTAAAAGGATGTCAGGGAACTTCTGTCTGCATTCTCTCTCTCCTGTTTGTCCCCTGCCCTCGTCATCACACACAGCATGTATATGCGTTAGTCATCTAGCACGTTTAGTTTTTTATTGCTAAATGTTTTTCATTATATAAATATGTTTTAGTTCCTGCAGCCACTTGAGCTGGAAGTATACAGTTTCAAAGTGGGAGGGGTGACATCTGTCTTTGCGTGGATATTTGAGAATTTCAGTATAAACACCAAAATCCCATTGCATAGACATTTCACATGTGAGCATAGTGGTGTTATTTTCTCAGCATTAAAGTCCAATTTATTTTAGCTTGGACTATGATGAAAGCCTTTAAATGATGTGTGTGCACTGATTACTGTGCATCCAGTTACTGCACTGCATTGTGTTTGTTATTACAGGTTGGTTTGAACGTTTTTAATGGTTTTAGAAAGGCGTTGTGATAGTCATTATGGTTACTGTTGTAAACTTAAAACCATGGCTTACATAACCAGTTTAATGGCCAATTCAATATTTGATTGTTGCATTTTACAAAAGTCATTTTCAAGAACAGATCATTGTATCACGAAAACAAATGTTTTAATGTTGATGCCTATAAACGATTAACACAATGTGCAATGAATCACACTGCTAGACTAGATCATCTTAACCATTTGAAGATCCTCTCCCACATTAGGCTTTTACAAAACACTTAAAAACATAGCCAACATTTCCCGTCATGTGTCCACAATCCCCTGGCCCGGCACATTGCAAGTTTGGCATGAGGATGAGTGTGCTTAGTTTTCCAAAGGGTGGACTTAACCAAAACAACAGGGTTGGAGTTATAATGGTGGCTTTTTTTCCACATGCTGTTCTATTGCTGAAAGCAGGGTGTTATGTATTGGGTAGAAATTGTGAACAGCAAAGTTATTTATGTTATAACAATACAAAAAACGTTTTCCTATTTGTTGTTTACGGCTATATAAGGACTCAGTCCGTTCCTCCTTATGTTATGTAATATTGACCCCTTCAATTATCTTTCAAATATACTAAACTATATTTATAATTGACTAATTCGATTTTCTATGCTGTGTGTGGTTGTGTGTGTGTGTGCGGGAAGATTGACTGGTGACTCAATCATCAAGCCTGTGATTATCAGCTTGTGGGCTGAGGGCTGAGGTCTTTATCTCAGAGCCAGCATTTGGGATGAACAACATGGCCATTTGAGGGACATTAAGATCTCACAGTGCAGCTAAATAGGGAGAATTCACTTTAGCCAAAAGGCCATTTTCTAGTTAGCATTGATTAGAATACACAATGGGGCTTAAAGGCAGCCAATAATGTGTGAAAACTGATCTGGTGTGTCACATTCATATGATTAACGTGCAGTAAATGCATGACTGATTTAAAAAAAGACATGTTGCAATGATAATGATTCAGTTATGCCACTTCCTGTTGGTCCTTAAAACACACAGACATGGAAGAAGACCTTCATGCTTTACCGTAATGTAAATGTACCTGTTATTAAGACACATGCTCCTTTAACTGTGTTTGAGTGAAAGGACAATTTGAGTGGTAACCTTGAAGTGACCTCCAGTGCTTTGGCAGCATCTGAAGCAGCATCCAGTTGGTGCTGGCGCCATTCTGACGCCGTTCTCTCGCCCACCATTAATTTTCTAAGACAGGTCAGGCTGTCAAACATAGAATCTAATAACAGCCCAGTCATGAGACTTCCTGGTGTTGAAACAGAGATATCGTTTCCTCATTTTGTCCTGCTTCCCTTTCCTCTTTTTAGATATAATAAGAATCTAAATCTTATGTCCCATTTGACGGATGTTTTTATACACTTGTATAATAGATTGGTCTGTGTACTGAGTATATTATTGACTTCCCACTCATGACACTTTTACAGTACATTTCCTTGGAATAAAATACATTAGACGGATATTGGATATCCAAACACAAGAACAAGTGTTGTTATTCAACACCCATGTTTCAAACAATGGAAGTCCCCGTTTGATATGACAGATATTTGAATATCTACATTGATATCAATTGTTCATTTAGGTGCTTTGGTCCTCATTTTCTCTCTGAACCTTGTTCTTTCTGTATTGCTTTTTTTGGTTGTTTTTTAAGACTGTCAATGTCCTAATTGAGACATAATGATATTAATAGTTTTAATCAATAAAGCTATGTTTGTGTTTACAAATAGAGAATGATACACAACATATTTCCTCTATCTTTGTATAATAATAATAATAATAATAATAATAGCTTGATTTTATATAGCGCCTTTCAAGGGACCCAAGGTCGCTTTACAACTAATATAGGAAAAACAAACATAACAAAACAAAAGTCAGACAGACAAAACAACAGATCGATTAGGGGCCGAAAGCCTTGGCAAACAGATGGGACTTGAGGGCCCTTTTGAAGGCGTCGAGTGTGGGGATGTTGCGAATCTCCGCAGGGAGAGCGTTCCAGAGGGTGGGGGCTGCCACACTGTAGGCTCTGTCCCCGAAGGTTCGCAGTTTGGTGCGGGGGATGGTAAGCAGGCCAGAGTCTGAGGACCGCAGGTTCCGGGGTGGGGCATGTGGGTGAAGGATGTCCGATAGGTACTGGGGGGCAAGGGCATGGAGGGACTTGTAGGTAAGGAGGAGTACTTTGTACGATATACGGGACTTGACCGGCAACCAGTGTAGGTGGATGAGGGTGGGAGTGATGCATACAATGCATATATCACATACAATTAAATATCTTGATCCAAACATAAACATGAAAAGCTTGTTGGTTCCTTTTATTCAAAATGTTGCAACATACCTAAGATGCAAAATATGTAGACATGTATTGGTAGATGAATTGCTATGACTGAAGTATTATTTCTGCAGTGAAAACAACATTTGGCCGTATCTCTTTCAACCAAATCTAAAACAGTAAAATTAGGCTGTTTTAATGTGAGGTGCAGGTGTTAAAACATCACAAGGAGAGAGGGTTTTCTTTAAATCAACAAAAACCTTCTTTTTCAGAAACATAAACTGCTTTTTCTCTACATGCCTTGTGCTGCTCTTTCACCAACAAGGAAAAAAAAATGCCACCCTTCAACTCTTTTCCCAGTCACATTTATAGCTGATTGCCAGCCTTCCCTAATTCATCCTGGCCAATCAGGGCATGACTCTGAAAGGGAAGTGAAGAGTTAAACACAAAAATAACACAAACAAAACAAACCAAATCCTCAAAGCCTAAGTCAATACATCACTTTATCTACAAAAAAGATTGTACATTCAAAACAAACAAAACTGATATTTTATTTTTGTAAGTTAATTGGCATACATGACATCCCACATTTTCTGACCAATCACATCCAAGACTCCTCCTACTCATACAGAACATGTGACGAGTACTCCAGAGGCGTGTTCCCCCTTTGAGCACTGGCACAAGATGGCTTCCAGGTCTGAACAAAGGAAATGGTGTTTCATTTTGTGATTATGTGTTTTTAAGAAGTGAGATTTATTTCAATACATAGTATATTAATTTGCCTATGTACATTTATATTATTAACTTTAAATGAAATAAAGACAATTCTGAAAAAAAATTGCCTACCTTTCTTTACAAACAAATAGTGTATCCAAATGATAGTGAGGGAGTGTGTGCTTCCTCACAGAGTCAGATGAGGAAACGTAAATTAGAAACAGAAAGGTTGAAACTATTTTAAAAAACAAACTTATCCAAATCAGTTCCTTTTGGTACTTCTGGTAATTGTTTGAGCCACAAAGGTAATTGCACAAACTTCCAGGGAAAAAGATATAAACCTCTATAACTATAAAGTTTTTAAGAGAATGTTCTGTTCTGCAGGCTTGCTTCCCAGAAATCACTGGTCTTTGGCTTGTGCTCTGAGTGATGTTACCAAAACAATGCGAGAAGAAAAAGTTACCAGAAGGCTGTAATTTAATAATGACACGAGCACCACAAAACACAATGGTTTTCTCAAACCTCAGCAAATTAAACCTTAATTATGTGTAGAAAGTGAAGCGATTTCTTACAGGTGTTGGGCCACATACATCATTTATAAGATGTAACAGCCTCAAAACTTAAGCCTAATATTAGTGATTTAAGCCTCCATCCTTGGCTAATCCTTCATATAGAGACACACCCAATGATTTCTCACAATATATAACTGTTTCATAGTAGACTCTAAAGTAATTTATCATATAAAACTGAAAGGTCCTTGAGTTATCATGACAACAGACTACAACGTCTGTCTGCTGCCGTTAGTTATGTCTCAGTGGTGTGTAATGAGGTATAAAACTAATGTCTGGACGAGGGGGCGGCCATGCTCATGATTCTCTTCAAAAATACTCAGCTCATTTCCTGTCTCCTTCTGCCTGTCTGCTTAATGTTTTTTTCCAGGCTGTGAGCTCCATAACTTGGTGCTGATTTCGGCCCAGTTCCCTCTTTCAGTACTCCTCACTGACTTAAGCCATTCATAGCCATACATTCTTGTGTAGTTTATATGTAATGTTTTCACAGCTGTCAGCTACAATGAGGGCCTTTGAATGGGGAGTGAATGAGACCTCAAAAGAGATATCGGTCCAACCCCAGGGACTGATGTTGGTAGTGGCCCCGGGCCGGCTTGGCTCATGTCCGAAACCACGAATACAACTTTGACGAACACTGTGTGATACCACTAATGCAGCCAGCCATGGAACAATAAGTCATTTTTAAAAAAGAAAGTGAAATTCAACCGATGCTTCTAATAATGTGTGTCTGACTGCTCACTTTTTCCTGGCGTCAAAAACACAGCCCACCCAGTATTTATTTACTTACTGTTATACAGACAGGGACTTACGGTAATTTCTTTTTTCCACAACAGGCTTAGACAGGATTTGGATAGTGATCTGTGTCTACCCTCGTATTTTCCTCTTGAATTTCAAATGGCTCATGTATTATTTCCATCTTTCTTTCAAATAAAGGCAACGCAAAATCAACACATCGACTATTGGAAGTTAATAAAAAAAGGTTTCAATTTCACATCCCTCTTTTACATTAACAAACCAGACATT